AGCCATTAGGGAAAAGAGAGAAAAGGTCTGGTCTGCTATTGAGGAACTGAACAGCAAGTGCTAGACATGTTTCATTTACAACAATCACCAAGAAGAAGTGAGAGAAGTGAGAGAAAGAGAGACAACTACCCTTCCCTGCTAGCACTGATTGGCACAGCGGATATTGTAGAGAAGTGACAAAATAGTAGGCAAGTGTGATAGCTTGGCAGAAATACTGTATATTCGCTCAGTCATTCAATTATTATAAATACGTTTATTCCTTCTACATGATACTGGTATAACCTTTCTGCAGTCCACATACTATTTACATTAGTTAAACATGTAGATACATTAATTTGACAAAACATAACTTAGTGGTGGAATACAGTGAGAAAATGTAATTCCGTCTTGTCTGTAAATACTGAAACTGAATACATTTACAGATGGAGAAGATACAGTGGAGAATTCTGGAGCAGAACTTTAGATGCCGGTGAAGCTGGAGTGTCCCTTTAAAAGAAGCATAGTGTGCACCCAAATGGCACCCTATTCCATACAGTGCACTACTTTTGACCAGAGACCCTGATCAAAAGTAGTGCATTATGTAGGGAATAAGGCTCCATTTCAGACGCACCATAGAGATATCTGTTCCAGTGGCTACCCCAGCACCACTAATACCACAGTACTCTAGAGGCACTTTGCACCATTCATCTAGTGTCTGTGGTGTTGGGGGAAGATGGCGGAGGGATTGTAAATTTAACTGAGGATGAGAACCCAAGCAGATCCCTGCCTATTAGCCACGGTGTCTGTCTGAGGAGATCACTGAGCTGTGCAACTGAGTGATCCAGAAACCTTCTCAAACACACACACACACACACACACACACACACACACACACACAAACACACCTAACGAGGACCACCATGAAGGGAGACGTGGCCCCTCTGCATCTCTCTGGCTTGATATAGTCCCCAATGCAGCCACAAGCCATTTCCATCTTAAGCATGTCTATCCTATGGGCAGGTGCTAGTATCAACACCTCTACTGTTTAGCTCTGGTGTTGCCGTGGTGTGGGGTGAAGACTACAACATGAGTTATAGTGTTGTGATGGGCCATGTCAGATGGGGTTCTGCCATGCCAGGCCAGACAGATGCCAGAGCCAAGCAGATCGCAGAGCGGCAGGGTTCCAGGGGAGTGAGGGCCTGTGGAATGGGGTGCAGCTGCGTTCCCCTTGGTGGTGGCTGAGGTGGGTGACTGACCCGTGGTGAGGCCAGCCTGACTGGTGCCTCTGCTAATGGACAGCCTGCAGCTGTGTGAGGGAGGGCAGCACTGGAGCTCAGGACAAGCCTGGAATGCACCAGATTCCTTGAACTGACCCAAAACACACACTAACGGAAACTTGTAGTAAAAGCTCTAAACCTACACATGACCCAGAGTGGACAGTTGGCTTTGATGTCCACACACCTGGTGTGAGGTTCAACACACCTGTAGAGGAATTCTTGAACTCTTCACACCTGCTCACAACGCATAGCCACTAGCTAGGTCTAATAGCTCATACTGACTACCAATGTTCCCTCTAAGACGCGCGAGCGTGCAGAAAAAATATCAGCCCGCACAGAGAAGCACGAGATTGAACTTCACTCAACTTTCTAGAGTTTTCCTCGTTAGTTAACACTATCAATGTTTCCCTTTACTGTGGGAATTGTGATCGAATCAACGCAATATTAGCCACTTTCAATGCAACATACCGAAACAAAACGAACTATGCAAGACTTAGTTTGCAAAACGAACTATGCAAGAGATTTGTTGTAAGCAGAACTCATCGGAGTAGGATTCTATTTCATTGACAGGTACAACATACTCTACACAGACCGGTGCGCCATAACCAATCAGAGCTGCAGTAGGCCTATATGCAAGTAGACCATTGGCCATTTATGGATCTGTGCCATTCACTTTGAACTGGACTGTTTTTACAGCATGAGCGTTCATGAGTAGATGCGCTTGTTTTGAGATCAAAGCGAGAGCTACATGTAGCGACGTGTGTACATTTGTTCATATCCTTTGATAGTTAGTTAGTTATTATCCCAGTTATAGATCATTTGTAGTCAGCAATGGGGGAGTGATTGCTTCCTACAAACAAACGTGTGCATTTCTAGACATCTTTGAAAAGCAAGTCAGGTAAATTGCTTATTTGTCTTAAAGGGGCAGTGTTGTATTTTCAGACAGACTTGAATAAGCTAAGTAGCCAATAGCATAATTTGCCTGATTCTCTGTAATAATGGTATGAGAATAATGATGCATTTTATTTTGTAAAGTGGTTTCTTGCATCAAACAACACAACAACATGTTCAGTCGCCTCCTCGTCTGAAGGACAAGCTGATAAACAGGTGAAACACCACACATTGGCTGCTACTGTAGGCATGTTAACATTTTATGGGATGCATTGTCTCCATTGTTTTTGATGTTAGGCCAGTCTGGTAGGCCTACATTATTATCAAATAGCCACAGTAGCCTATTTGATCACTGTTAAAACTTAAAGCGGGTACAGCCTCAGTGTTCACAGTAAACGCGCGCTGGAAGTTGCACAGAATTTTAACAACGTTCAAGTTTGCGCTCAGCAGACCTGAAATTTGCTCAGTGACTTAAAAAAATGAGGGAACATTGCTGATTACAGTATTTTCCCCTTTACCCTGGCCAGATGATATTCAGTCAGGAGCTCCTGGACCCAGATGCAGGCATACCGTAGTGACCTGTCCTAAACAGTGGTGTAGGGCTCTGATGGTTCACCTAGGGTGGAAGAGGATCTGAGAGGTCCTGTGTGGTTGGAGCTGCCTGCCCGACAGCAGGCCTTCAGCAGGGTGAGTTATGGTCCTGGTGGAGCCTGCGGGCCGGGCCTGGTGTCACCTAGCAGCAGAGGAATGAGACAGACAGCTGAGAGCCTCCACCCCGGCCCAGCCCGCCCAGCCAGCGTCATAAACAGAGCCTTGTTGCCTGAGTGCTGGGGACACATGGCATGATGGCGGCCTGGTGAAACGGTGCTGACAGCTGGGGACAGGGGGATGCCCCATGGGTGGACAGCGGTTAGGGTCATGTGGTATGATCAGACCTGGAGGATCATGGGACTGCTGTGGATTGTCAACCATCACATATTTATGATTCAGCTAATGAGAAAGAGCCTTACTGTGAACTGCTAACCACAACGATTGGACAGACACTATTCAGAAAGCAGAGATGTACTTGAGAAGGTGTACACTGACCATTTGTGTGAAAGAACTGTGTGTGGTGAGTCAGAGTTGTATCTTTGATGGTCTAAATTGTATACAGAGTGGTCTTTCAATAGGGGAAATATGGGGTTGAGGGAGAAAGAAATTAGGATTTAGATTGTTGATACAAACCTATCACATTATAAATTAAGCTTATAATGTTGATAATATACCTGTGTTAAACGTGTACATACAATATATAGGTAAAATATGTAGGAGCGTTTCAACACTACACGACTGCAGATTGTGGCATCTTTAAAAAATAAAACAAAATGTAACTGAAAAATAACATCTGAATAATAACAATAATAACAACAATTCCATTAATAACACCAGAGGTAGCAGCTGATTACAGTCTTCTATTCTCACTGAACATTTCAACATTTTTCTCTCAGGGAGTGTCCTGTATTGCATGTGAGAGTCAGGAGCTGGATGATCTTGTCTTCTTCATCTCCATCTGATGCCTGTCTGTCCTCTGTTCTGACAGCCCAAAGTGTCTCCAATGCAACTGCACCCACAAGTGCTTTTCAAGTGGTTTTCAGTGGCGACAGGGGTGTCACAACAGACAGGGAACACATGCACACAGACACACGGATACTATACATACACATACACACACACACATACGCAAACATTCAATTGAACCAATGCACACATGCTCTCACACACACACACTGTATATTCATACACACAAATGTACACATTATTTTTCTCTCTTTCGCACACACACACAAAATACACACATGCTCTCTCTCTCTAACACAAACTCACTGGACACTGGGCATTTCTATTTTCCTTCATATATTTTATATTTTTACATCACAGTCTTTCCATCCAAACCAGCCCCTCACCTCTCATTCCCCTTCCCCAAAACTCAGAGGTCTGTGAAGATGGCGGGGCCCGTATGGCTTCATAAAGTCAGTTAGTCCATCACAGTAGAGGGTTTCAGAGAACCAGACAGACAGAGAGGGATGAGAGGAGTCCTCTGAAGGATTACAGCCAAGTCTCTTTTCTCCTTCTGTGCCTCTCAGGTTCCCCAGATACATCCCTCTGCCCTGTCCTGCTCTTGGTTCCCCAGTTACATCCCTCTGCCCTGTCCTGCTCCTGGTTCCCCAGTTACATCCCTCTGCCCTGTCCTGCTCCTGGTTCCCCAGTTACATCCCTCTGCCCTGTCCTGCTCCTGGTTCCCCAGTTACATCCCTCTGCCCTGTCCTGCTCCTGGTTCCCCAATTACATCCCTCTGCCCTGTCCTGCTCCTGGTTCCCCAATTACATCCCTCTGCCCTGTCCTGCTCCTGGTTCCCCAGTTACATCCATCTGCCCTGTCCTGCTCCTGGTTCCCCAGTTACATCCCTCTGCCCTGTCCTGCTCCTGGTTCCCCAATTACATCCCTCTGCCCTGTCCTGCTCCTGGTTCCTGGCATGCCTGAAGACCAAGACACTGTCCCGCTGCCTCACAGGGACTCTTCATGCCTGGACAACCCCATAATAACCCTCTTCACCCTGCACCTCCATGTCTGTCCAACTCAATCCTCCTGATGTCCTGTCCTCTCAGCCCACAGGGCCAGCTCTTGTGGCAATGCAAGACCCAGCACCCCCTGACAGTGACACAGTTCTGGCTGTGCTGTTGCTGTCCTGTGTGGGAGGGGCCTGCCTGTCTGCACAGTCTACTGTCCTGGCTGTGGAGCCAGGTGGAGGTGGGGCTGTGAGAAGGTGCTCTGGGGCCGGGGGCAGCACGGCAGCGGGCTGGCTGGCTGGCTGGCTCAGGACTGGTAGAAGTGGTGGTAATGGTGGTGGTGTTCATGGTGGTGATGATGCTCGTGCCTCTGAACCATCTGGGCCAGCCCTCCTTCATAGAGGAGCACACTGGGAAGGTCCCTCACCTGCTCCTTCTCCATCACAGGCCCCACTGGAGCCCCCAAAGACCCCAAGGCCCGGTATTGCTGCTGGCCCTCCTTGGCCCTCTGCTTGTGCCTGCGGTAGGGGGCTGAGGACTGGTGAGGGGGGGTCTGGCTGGGCAGGGCCGGGGGAGGTGGGGCCCCTCTACTCCTCATCACCCTGCCCGTGGTGGTCTGTGTGGGGTGCGTGCGGCTGTGGGTCTTGGGGGAGCGCAGGGCGTGTTTACCTGAGTCTTTACCCGGTCGTGGGGGACAAAGAGTGTCTGGGCCCGGAGCGGTGCTGCTCTCCATGGCCACCTGCGAGCGGCGGTGGTGGGGGTAGGAGTGGCCATTCTCTGGTTCATGAGAGCGAGACCTGATCTGGTTCGATGGTCGGGTCTGTGGCTCTGCTTTCACAGGCTCTGTGGTGGGGGCTGGAGAGGAGAGAAATACAGGTCAGGATAAATAACCCATGATGGGTGAATTGATACACCAATAACTTAATTGAAAGTCTGAGAAGTTCATAACTCATTAACGTTAATATTACCAGTTCCAATACCTATTTTAACACCTTTTTTAATTTTTTCTGCTTTCTTTTTTCACAGGACAAAGTGTATTTTTCTGCCTTGAACTAGAGGGAGTCACACAAAAAAAGCTCACCTGCTCCGAAGCGGGATGTGTAATTCTCGATGCCGGCCAGGTCTAGGTAGTGGTTCCTGCGCTCCAGGTTCTCATCCACACAGTGGCGCTGACAGCCCTGACTCTGACCCTGCTGGGTCAGAACCTGGTGCTGGACAGTGTGGTGGTCACTGTGATGGCGCCTGGAGGGGAGGGAGATGGGACTTTAGAACAGCTTGAAGGAGTATTTTAGCTCTCTAAGATGGATTGCAAAACATACATTCCTTCGGTGTCAAAATAAAGATTGTTATTAGTGTCAAAGATGTACAGAATTACATTATGGTCTTGTAAAACCTTGATGCAGGCTGTAGAACATATGTTACCTGAGGAGGGCTCGAGACTTCTTCTCTGCACTTTTAAGGTCTTCAATGCACTTGTCAGTCTTGGTTCTGGGGAGGGGCATGTCTGTGAGAGAGAGAGCAGGACATTATCAAAAAGAGCAGCACACACAGAGCAGCTACACACACACAGCACAGGCCTATTTCTCTCAGAAGAAAGAAACCTTTGTTCATAGCCTTTTACTTTGAAGATCTATAAAAGAGAAAAAACAGCAATGCTTCATTTATTTACTCCAGGCCTCATATAAGACATAAAGAAAAAATATATATAACCCAGAGTTTATTAATGAAGTGAGATATGTTGCGGTTCCTTTTCAAAGCCTGCTTCTTTTGAATCGCTTGACGTTATAAATAGCCACAACAACATGAAGTAAACAAACATGGCGTCATATTTTTTAGCACATTTTTATTCTCAATACTTGTTTACCAAGTCGTCAGTTAGAAAAGTTGCGTTGAATGTAGCTATATTTTACCGACAGCTCTGAGAAGTGGGGGGTGAGGGAGAAGAAGAAACACTTTGGAGAAAAAGAAAATGGTTGTGGTTATCAAAAGGAGTCGGTGCATCTCTTAAGGTTTCTTTCAGAGTATTTGAAGGCACTGGGGGGCTCTCAGCTCTGTCCCTACTCCCATCATTAAAAATGAACCCCATTGTGCCGGAGAGATGGAGCGATGGAGAGACAGGCAGAGAGAGAGAGAGAGGAGTCTGACAGGCCTGAAGCAGGTGCCTTTCTGCATGACAACAAACAAGACTGGATGTGCTGACAGCGGAACAGTCAAGTAGAGCCCAAAGAACACCGCTCTCTCTCCTCCCCATCTCATACCTTTTCTTCCCCCTCTCCTCTATCTCCCCCTTCTCCTCCCTTGTCTCCCCTATCCTCACTCCCAGCCCTGTGATCCTAACCCCAGCCTGGTGGTTACCTGCGGGGCCCTGCGTGCAGCTCCGCCAGCGCTGGCTGGAGTCGGGGGCCACGGAGAGCTTGACCCGCAGCGTCTTGCTGCTGCTGGGGGAATGGTTGACCGACGTGTCTACCACCTCATAGATGGTGTGGAGCAGGCTGGTGATGTCCTGAGGGGGAGGGAGAGAGAGAGATGGTCTGAGTTAGTACACAGCTGACAACCCAGTTACTGTTTCAGGCAAACAGGAGAGATGGAGAGAAGAACATGCTGGGTTGTCAGTTGTTTTATTTCAGTGTTCTCCCTGTAAAGTGATCAGGCAGGGAGTACAAAGATGGGATAAATGCATGAAAATATTTGTCTGGGAGGTGGGAGGAGAAGTGCTAAAAGATGTCAGAACTCTACTCTACAGCAGCTCTGCTCTTAATTTCACTCTTGTTTTCTTTCTCTCTGTAGGCTTTTTATGGTGGTTTGTGTAACTTTGGAAGTTTAAAAGTATTATCTCCCTCTTAGTATCTCTCTCTCTCTCTCTCTCTCTCTCTCTCTTTGAACGAGTGGAGTAGCGGAGGGCCATAGCACAGACCTTTGCCTCAGGGCTAAGATTCAGACATAGACAGAATAAGAGAGAAAATAAGAGGGAAAATCCCGCAGAGAGAGAAAGAAAGGCCGAATAACATCCACACACAGTGAGCACAAACCAGACATCTGAAATCTGCACTCGCTTAAGTCTTTAAATGCCTGTTTAGGAAGAGAGCAACATGAACATCCACAGATGGATCAAAAGCATATTATGTTTAATTATACATATTTCAGGTATTTTTTGCATTTTCCCTCTAAAGGTAATTACTGCATTTCTACTAATGTTCCCTGGACTGCCAATGCCGAGAAAAGGGGCTTACAAAACCACTCAGAAATTAGGACATTTTTGGGCCTGTTAGCCTAGCTTCTGCTCTCTCTCCTCTAAAACGTCCAAATGCCTGAATTCCTATTGCCTTGCCTCTCTCTGACTGCAATATAAAGGCCTATTATGAGCTCTTTGGGGACTGGCTCCAGATACCATTTCAAACGCTAAAATGTAAAAAATCCTCTTATGTCATTTTTAGTTTTCAATTTTTTCATACGTGTGAAGAAATAAAGAAAGGGAGCTGGAGAAGAAAGCTATTTCTTTCTTTTTTCGACTTCTTTTTGTGAGCTGCCGCCTGCCGTCTCATGTGCCGCGGGGCCACGGGCGATGCCAAAGAAACTGGAGATCCAACCATCCCACCACACAGAGGACGGCTTCAGTCTCTTCACACCGTTTCAACTCAGCTCTCCAAAAATACAGGCCTCTCTGACTGCACTGCTCAGATCTTTACAAGGCAGCAGCCAGACACTAGGTATCTATCGCTGGGAAGGAAAAAGTCTCTTTGGTTCCTAGTGGCTGTATTATTGAAATGGACTAATATAACTTCATCTGGTTGTGTCTCACTTAGTCTATATATGTGTTTGTGTATCTGTTTGAAAGAGAAAAAGATCATGGGTGGGTAAAGAAAAGGATAGTGCCCTGTTACGTGTAAGAGTATATTTGAATGTAAATGTCTTTGAACCCTTACCTCTCTGGTGACCTTGCCATTGTTGTCAAAATCATACAGCGTGAACGTCCACTCCTGTCTGTTGTCTTCCTCTACAGAGACGGCACACTCAAGCTCCTGAAACAAATCACATTTCAATATAAGTATCGATACATTCATGACTGTGTGCATGCGTGCGTGCAAGTGAGCATCCTTCAATCCCTGAAAGAGTATTCTGTTGTCGCTCTAGTTCTCCCCAGAGGCACTAATAATCAAATCAAATCAAATGTATTGGTCACATACACATGGTTAGCAGATGTTATTGCGAGTGTAGCGAAATGCTTGTGCTTTTAGTTCCGACAGTGCAGTAATATCTAGCAAGTAATATCTAACAGTTCCACAACAAATATCTAATACACACAAATCTAAGTAAAGGAATGGAATAAGAATATATAAATATATGGATGAGTAATGTCATTGTCAGAGCGGCATAGGCTAAGATGTAATAGATAGTATAGAATACAGTATATACATATGAGATGGGTAATGCAAGATATGTAAACATTATTACGATAGTATAGAATACAGTATATACAGTATCTCACAAAAGTGAGTACACCCCTCACATTTTTGTGACAACACTGAAGAAATGACACTTTGCTACAATGTAAAGTAGTGAGTGTACAGCTTGTATAACAGTGTAAATTTGCTTTCCCCTCAAAATAACTCAACACACAGCCATTAATGTCTAAACCGCTGGCAACAAAAGTGAGTACACCCCTAAGTGAAAATGTCCAAATTGGGCCCAATTAGCCATTTTCCCTCCCCGGTGTCATGTGACTCATTAGTGTTACAAGGTCTCAGGTGTGAATGGGGAGCAGGTGTGTTAAATTTGGTGTCATCGCTCTCCCACTCCCTCATACTGGTCACTGGAAGTTCAACATGGCACCTCATGGCAAAGAACTCTCTGAGGATCTGAAAAAAAGAATTGTTGCTCTACATAAAGATGGGCTATAAGAAGATTGCCAAGACCCTGAAACTGAGCTGCGGCACGGTGGCCAAGACCATACAGCGGTTTAACAGGACAGGTTCCACTCAGAACAGGCCTCGCCATGGTCGACCAAAGAAGTTGAGTGCACGTGCTCAGCGTTATATCCAGAGGTTGTCTTTGGGAAATAGACGTATGAGTGCTGCCAGCATTGCTGCAGAGGTTGAAGGGGTGGGGGGTCCGCCTGTCAGTGCTAAGACCATACGCCGCACACTGCATCAAATTGGTCTGCATGGCTGTCGTCCCAGAAGGAAGCCTCTTCTAAAGATGATGCACAAGAAAGCCTGCAAACAGTTTGCTGAAGACAAGCAGACTAAGGACATGGATTACTGGAACCATGTCCTGTGGTCTGATGAGACCAAGATAAACTTACTTGGTTCAGATGGTGTCAAGCGTGTGTGGCGGCAACCAGGTGAGAAGTACAAAGACAAGTGTGTCTTGCCTACAGTCAAGCATGGTGGTGGGAGTGTCATGGTCTGGGGCTGCATGAGTGCTGCCGGCACTGGGGAGCTACAGTTCATTGAGGGAACCATGAATGCCGACATGTACTGTGACATACTGAAGCAGAGCATGATCCCCTCCCTTCGGAGACTGGGCCGCAGGGCAGTATTCCAACATGATAACGACCCCAAACACACCTCCAAGACGACCACTGCCTTGCTAAAGAAGCTGAGGGTAAAGGTGATGGATTGGCCAAGCATGTCTCCAGACCTAAACCCTATTGAGCATCTGTGGGGCATCCTCAAACGGAAGGTGGAGGAGTGCAAGGTCTCTAACATCCACCAGCTCCGTGATGTCGTCATGGAGGAGTGAAAGAGGACTCCAGTGGCAACCTGTGAAGCTCTGGTGAACTCCATGCCCAAGAGGGTTAAGGCAGTGCTGGAAAATGATGGTGGCCACACAAAATATTGACACTTTGGGCCCAATTTGGATATTTTCACATAGGGGTGTACTTACTTTTGTTGCCAGCGGTTTAGACATTAATGGCTGTGTGTTGTGTTATTTTGAGGGGACAGCAAATGTACACTGTTATACAAGCTGTACACTCACTACTTTACATTGTAGCAAAGTGTCATTTATTCAGTGTTGTCACATGAAAAGATATACTCAAATATTTACAAAAATGTGAGGGGTGTACTCACTTTGGTGTCACGACTTCCTCCGAACCTGCCTCCTCTCCTTGTTCGGGCAGGCTTCGGCGTTCGTCTTCACCGGCCTTCTAGCCACTGTCGCTCCTCATCTCATCATTCCATTTGTTTTGTCTTGTTTATTACACACACCTGGTTAATTTCCCTTCATCAGTACCTGTATAAGTATTCCCTCTGCACCCCTTGTCTTTGTGTGTGATTGTTTATTGTGGAGGTTACTATAGCTCGGTGGAGCTATATGGTATTTTGTATCGCCAGGATATTCACCCGTGTGCCTTGTTGTCTACAGTGCACAGTAATACCGCACTGGAGTGTTTTACGCATTGCTGCATACCGTTATTCTTACCGAATAAACCATTTATTCTGTGATTGACCCTCCTGACTCCGTCCAAATCACCCACCAAAGAATCACACACCCAACAGCATGGAGTCGGCAGGAGATGGGAATATGCCTGGAGTCGTGGAGCGGGTCCGGGAGCATTCCAACATGCTAACCAGCTTGGGCAAAGCGATGGATCGGGTTCTCCAGGTCGTCCAACGCCTGGAGAGGAGAGGACCCGACCCTTCAGGACCAGCTGAGCGATCCAGCCACCCACACCCCAGCACCCAGAGGGATTCACCTATCCCCACCGAGGGAGTATGACGGGACAGCTGCCCGCTGCCAGGGATTCCTCCTGCAGCTGGACCTCTATTTTTCTACCATCAGCCAGGCTCCATCGGAGCGGGAGAAGGTGTCCGCCGTCTCCTGCCTCTCGGGGAAAACCCTGGAGTGGGCCAACGCAGTCTGGAGTGAAGGAGGACACGCGTTGGAGAATTACGGCGAGCGGCTTGTTCATCTGAGGCAGGGGACGAGGACCGCGCAGGACTTTGCTCTGGAGTTTAGAACTCTAGCGGCTGGGTCCGGCTGGAATGAGCGGGCCCTCATCGACCGCTTCCGGTGCAGCCACCAGTCTGTCTCTTTCCTCGGATACCACATCACCACCTCAGGTGTGGAGATGGAGGGAGACCGCATTTCAGCCGTGCGTAATTGACCGACTCCAACCACGGTAAAGAAGATGCAATGCTTTATTGGGTTTTCCAATTACTATCGGAGGTTTATCCGAGGCTTTGGCAAGGTCGCAGCTCCCATCACCTCTCTGTTGAAGGGTGGGCCGTCCCGGCTCCGCTGGTCTGCTGAGGCTGACAGGGCTTTCCGTAACCTGAGGGCTCTGTTCACCTCAGCCCCGGTACTGGCCCATCCCGATCCATCATTACCGTTCGTAGTGGAGGTGGATGCATCCGAGGTAGGGATAGGTGCTGTGGAGGCACTTGCTCGAGGGGGCGAAACACCCTTTCCTCGTCTGGACTGACCACCGTAATCTGGAGTACATCCGGGCAGAGAGGAGGCTGAACCCTCGCCAGACCAGGTGGGCCTTGTTCTTCACCAGGTTTGATTTCACGTTGTCATACATACCAGGTACTAAAAACGTGAAGGCAGATGCGCTGTCACGGCTGTACGACACAGAGGAGAGGCCCATAGACAACACCCCCATACTCCCGGCCTCCTGCATTGTGGCGCCGGTACTGTGGGCGGTGGACGCGGACATAGAGCGGGCGTTACGCACAGAGCCATCTCCACCTCAGTGCCCAGCTGGGCTGCGGTACGTGCCGTCTCTTGTCCGTGACCGTCTTATCTATTGGGAACACACGTCCCCCTCCTCAGGTCACCCAGGTATCGGTCGTACAGCGCGCTGCCTGACCGGGAAGTACTGGTGGCCTACCTTGGCTAAGGACGTGAGGGTGTATGTCTCCTCCTGCTCGGTGTGCACCCAGAGTAAGGCAACTAGGCACCTCCCAGCGGGTAAGTTACATCCCTTACCAGTTCCAAAACGGCCATGGTCCCACTTGTCAATTGACTTCCTCACTGATCTTCCCCTCTCTCAGGGTAACACCACCATCCTGGTTGTTGTGGACCGCTTTTCTAAAGCCTGCCGCCTCCTTCCTCTGCCCGGTCTTCCCACGGCCATGTAAACTGCGGAATCCCTGTTTACTCATGTCTTCCGGCACTACGGGGTGCCAGAGGACATAGTGTCTGACCGGGGTCCCCAGTTTACATCCAGTGTCTGGAAGGCATTCATGGAACATCTGGGGTCTCGGTCAGCCTGACCTCTGGGTTTCACCTCTGGAGAGCCCTGCGGTTGTGGGCGGTGCAGTTGCCATACCAGGCGGTGATACAGCCCAACACAATGCTCTCAATTATGCATCTGTAAAAGTTTGTGAGGGTTTTAGGTGACAGGACACATTTGTTGTTGCGCCTTCTTCACCACACTGTCTGTGTGGGTGGACCATTTCAGTTTGTCAGTGATATGTACGCAGAGAAACTTAAAACTTTCCACCTTCTCCACTGCTGTCGCATTGATGTGGATAGGGGGGCACTCCCTCTGCTGTTTCCTGAAGTCCACGATCATCTCCTTTGTTTTGTTTTGTTGACGTTGAGTGAGAGGTTATTTTCTTGACACCACACTCTGAGAGCCCTCACCTCCTCCCTGTAGGCTGTCTCATCGTTGTTGGTAATCAAGCCTACTACTGTTGTGTCGTCTGCAAACTTGATGATTGAGTTGGAGGCGTGCATGGCTACGCAGTCATGGGTGAACAGGGAGTACAGGAGGGGGCTGAGCACACACCCTTGTGGGCCCCCAGTGTTGAGTATCCGTGAAGTGGAGATGTTGTTTCCTACCTTCAACCCCTGGGGGTTGCCCATCAGGAAGTCCAGGACCCAATTGCACAGGGTGGGGTTGAGACCCAGGGCCTCAAGCTTAATTATGAGCTTGGAGGGTACTATGGTGTTGAATACTGAGCTATAGTCAATGAACAGCATTCTTACATAGGTATTCCTCTTTTCCAGATGGGATAGGGCAGTGTGCAGTGTGATAGCGATTGCATCGTCTGTGGACCTATTGGGGCGGTAAGCAAATTGAAGTGGGTCTAGGGTGACAGGTAAGGTG